ATTTTGAATAAATGATCCTTTAAAAACTTAAATATTTGATATTCCTCACTATATCACATTCAGCTTGTATTTGCTGTTGTTCTTCAAGTTCATTTAATTTTTATTTTGTTCAGAAGTACTTTTTCTTTGTCATTTTACTCTTCTTTCTTATCCTCCTTTCCTTTCTGATGTAAAAACCATACCAAGAATTTTATGCTTTTAAAATATAATTAGAAACACAAAATTTAAAATACATTTACAATTTTACCTTCAAAAAGAGGTAAAAAAATGTCTGGAAAATTCACTTTTGTAAAGATAGTCATTTTATAGCAACTGTTTTTAATTTTATAGTCCAGCAAACTAAAGCAGAAGTTGGAAGCTCATATGTAAGTAAAACTGATACTGCATTTCAAATACAAGAGGGAAGGGGTTGTAAAGCTTCTGAAATTAATTTCCCTTTTCGGATTTTATGAAAAAAACAAATACCTTGATAATGATTGAATATGCACCATTGTCACCAAAAAGTGAAGAGAAAAACCTGCTAAAAGTCTCAGCTTGGCAACCATCCCAAACTCATACACTTTAAAATTGTTTAACATCATTTGAAGAATTTAACAAAATAGACAACTATTAAAAGTAGGTTTATGGGGGCGGGGATTTAGCTCAGTGGTTCCGCCTCCTGCCTCATAAGTGCAAGGTCCTGAGTTCGATCTCCTGTAGGTTTATGGACCTTAAACCTATAAAATAGTCTCTCTTACTTCCTGAGAGGTGAAGTTGGCAAGGGAAAAAAATTTTTAGCACTTTTGCCATCTATCATGTGCCAGGCAGTGTACCTCATGACAGCTAGGTATATTAGGCAGGTGCAATTTCCATTTCACATATGAGGAAACTAAAGGTAAGAAAGTGACTAGTCCAAATTCACAAATGGTAGGTGGCAGAGACCAGTTTTCATCCTTAGGTCTGTTTGACTCCAAGTCCATGCTCTTTCCACTACTTAGGGAAAAACTAACAGAGGTCCATGAAGAATTACAGAAAAAAAAAGAGCTCATTGAAGACCTTCAGCCAGATATAAATCAAAATGGTAGGTATTTGTAAAAATTTGGGTCACACTGTATTAAGGATTTACCCTCTTTGGTTGAAAGGTACAAAAACTGTGTATACAAGTGCATACACTTGTATATACATCTTTGCACAATTTGTAGATACATACATTGCAGTTAAGAACCATGATAACTTACAGTGGTGAGTTAAGATATGATCTAAACTTCAAGAAAAAAATGTAAATATAGGGCTGGGGATTTAGCCTTGGTTTCGCCACCTGCTGTGCAAGCACAAGGACCCTAGTTTGATCCCTGGTACGAAAAAAAAGAGTAAATATAATAGTGAACTGATTTTTATATAGGAGTATCAAACATTATAAGATGCAATAGAATTAATACTATGGAAATGTGAATAATTTCAAATCAAACTTAACTTCAAAGTAATGCCTTGTGTTTTCATATTATGAATATGCTTACATTGAAAAGTTTGTTTGCTTATTGAAATGATTAATAGAAAAATAGCTAGGTAAAGTAGGTTATAGGTAATAATTGAACTACAACTATTGGTTACAGTTCAAATGTTTCAGGTAAGAATTCACTAGAAAGAAGAAATAGTTTCTCATTTAAATTCTCTCATTAGTCTTTTGAAAAATAGGTTTGATAAGTATAATTTTGTTTGGGGATACATTATTTTAAATAGGTAAATAATCATGTTTCATTTTCCTTTTACTAATAGTACAAAAGCTCAGTGAACTTGAAGCTGCTCTTCATAAGAAAGATGAAGATATGAAAGCAATGGAAGAAAGATATAAAATGTACTTAGAGAAAGCCAGAAATGTGAGTGACCTCTTTGTCAGAGTTCAAGCCTTTGTGTCCTGTGTTCTAATAAGGCCTGGATCCCCTGAAGGCACTGCTCCTCTTGTGTCAGTATCTAGTCATTTTGCTCTCCTCTGCCTTGTCTTCCTGTCCGGTTCCTGGGTGTCTCCGTGTCAGTCCTCATACCAGAGTCTCGTGCACTAGTGTCAGGGTAGCATCAGATAAGATAAACACAGCATTTATATGGACACCTTCAATGCTGAATGTAGTGACCCCACTAGAGAAAATGACTGCTGCAATGTGTGGAACCTTTGGTTCTTAGCAAAATGCATGTAGAATTTTTATTTGCTAAAATTTAGGTTTTTAATCTTGTCTGAAATTATTTTAACTTTTACTCTAGATTGGACAGTAAACATTGTAATGCTCATTAAAGTCTTCTCTTTCCTTATTTCATACTTTTTCTTAAATATCTATAAGTGTTTGTTTTCATAAAATCTTATTTTCTTAAATACTGTAATAAACATTATCTCTTAGATTAATGTATTCTTTTCTCTTTATTGACTAAAAGAAGGAAATTTGGGGGGCAGCTCTAAAATAGTTGTGTCTGTCTTTTTAATGTTTTAAAACTCGTGTAATATTTATGAATTAAAGTATAACAAAAGATCAAGCCAAGATCTCAAGGCGTCAACTGATAATATACTCTGTGAACACATCGCATTAGGTGTGAGTGGAGAGGGTTCAGCTCTGCGCAGTCTTTCTGAGTCCCAAGCCCACAGAGGTTCTGCCTTTTTCAACAAAGACCCCACGTTCACCTTACATAGTCCAGCTGGTACATAGGTTGCAGAGAAAATATGTGATGGCTCAGGCCTGGACACAGCAGAAATCACTTTCCCACTTCGGTGGCAGAACTCTGGCACATGGCCATATCCAATGTGTAGGGAGGCAAACAGCACAACTATGTTTCTACAAGGGAAAAGGAAATAGGCTTGGTAAAGAATCGGGTACTTTTTGCCATAGTTGTTTCTTCCAATTATAAGAACTAACATACTTAAATAAAATATAAAGTTAATTGCTACTAATATTTTGGTGTATTTTCTTAACTGTATTTTTATGCATATCTTCTTCATGACTGATTATCATATATGTGAATGTATATATGTTTATTTTTAAATTTAAACCATTTCCCTGTGTTATATAATTATAAAGTTTAATGGTTACTGAGCATTTAATATGCTAAGAATTGGGAATGTAGAAGTAAACAGGACAGACCCACACTTATGGAGCAGACTTTGCAAAAGTAAAATAATGTCTACATAATACTCAACTGTATGGGATATATCATGGTTTCTTTAATTATTATCCTGCTGTTGGAAGTAGTTTTAATTTTCTTTACATTATTTGTTCCTAAAAATAAAGAGTATAGGGAACATTTATACAGAAAGCTTTCCTCTTAATTTTGATACCTAGAAATAAAATTATTGAATCAAAGGCTATGACTGTATTAATAAGATATTTGTTAAGTATTTATAAATGATTTTCTAAAAGGATTAATTGAAGAAAATGACAGTAAATTCCTTGTGTTCAACATTATTGAGCATTATTTAAAAGACAGTTCATTGCTTTGATAAACATGATTTCTTATTTTCCTACATTGTTTGGGTACAGATGTTAAAATAATGGTTAAAATAACCTATGTCCACTATAAAAAAAAATCAAATATAAAAATGTCACAACCAGGCCGGGGATTTAACTCAGTGGTTCTGCTGCCTGCCTCGCAAGCGGAAGGTCCCAAGTTCGATCCCCGGTACCGAAAAAAAAAAAATAAAAAACGTCACAACCATACTTTTTATCATATAGAGATGACAGATTGATTTAACTTAAATGATTATTTGAATTCTGTAGCATGGCTCTGCTGTGGCCCTGTGAAGCCTGGTGCCCTGTCTCTCGTGATCTGCTAGATCCTCACCTTCTACAGCATGTGCCTCTTACATATTCACACTCAGGAAATGGTTTGTGAATGTGTAAACCCCAGGAAAAACTTGGTGTTTCTACTCTTTTTGCTTTACCTCTGTAAATGTAAATGACATTTTCCTATGTCATTAAATAATTTTAAACCCTTAACAATAGATTTTTATTACCTTATACAGATGTCCTTTATTATTGCAAATACAGTTTTTGCTTCTAACTCTTACTTTTCAAAATTGGTTTCATAACAGAATGCTGTCCAAATAGTTTCACTGCATCTTTCTAATTTTTCTATTACATTCTGATCAAACACCTCTTTTGACCCAACTTGTAGTTATTTACATACATACAATTGAGCACTTTAATATTTGCAGGTAAAATCACTAGTATCTATTATATTTATTTGATATTCTAATTACATTTGACATCTGAGTAGATGATAGGAAAAGGAATGATTGCTATGAATTTCTTTTTTATTCTCTGTAAAGTCAGCATATTCCACTATTGCTGAATTCATGTTGAATTTTTTAAATTCACCATTAAGCTTAATGTGGAAAGGATTATTTTAAGAACTCAGTGCCCAAAATTTGAGTGATGAAAGGCTAAAACAACTGCCTGAGTAGTGAGCCTTGGAGATGGGATATTTGAGTTTGGGATGAGGATCTCCCCATTTTTGTACTGAAATTTTATAACATTTCTTGCCTCAACTAAGTTACTTCACTTATCACAATGAAATTGTAAATGACCTCCTGGGACTCTGGAGAATTTTCTACTTTATTTACAGTTTTATAGGACATGATCTTATATTTTCAATACTTTAAAACATAAAGTAAACATAATTTTTTCCCTCAAACAGGTAATAAAAACTTTAGATCCCAAATTAAATCCTGCATCAGCTGAAATAATGCTACTTAGAAAGCAGTTGGCAGAGAAAGAGAGAAGAATTGAGATTTTGGAGGTAAATCTTCCATATTTATACTTATCTCCTCTTAATTATTCTGAATCCTGGTAATTATCTCCTATCATATGTTGTCATTAACATAAAGTTTTGTAAAAAGTTTCAACTGTTGATATTTAGCACTTAGTATGTTTATTACAAAACATATCACTACCCCTTAGATTTGTACATAGAAATGTTTATGTAGCTGTTTATTTGCTGCCTTAAAGCTCTTTCCCTCTGTAACTGCTGACCATATGCATATCCTTGACTTTCTAATAGAATCCTGATATCATGCTCCTTTTATAATTGTATGAATGTGATTTCACTCACAAAAATGGAAAAAAAACTGAGCTCACCTTCTAAAAGAGGTACTGTGTTTGCTCAGTTAATTACATTTGTCTTATCTTCTCCCTGATTCCTGCCTGAACCCAGACAAACTTAGTTGTAATGTTTAGGAGAAGGTGGTACAGAATCTCAGCAATTCCCTGAAGTACTGATCTATTACCATGCAAAGTTATATTAATAATGGCAGGATTTCATTGATCACTCAAGTCTTTACATGTTAAAGGTTTTTTTGGGCGGGTGGTGGTGGTTATGGTTTTATCATTTTTATGAGCTTGGGTAAGAGTATCAATACGTACTTGTATATTTTAGATTTTACACTTGGGCATGTCCTAGTTTGTTTTGCAAAAATACCTTTCTTAATACTGTGATGAGACTTGATGCTGTATACTTCCTCTTAACAACATGTGCATAATATGGAGGCATGTTGAATTCTATGCTCTGGCCTTGAAATTCTCAGAAATGGTAGTTGGTTTCTTTTTAAATCAACTGGGAACATTATATTTCAAAGAAAAACATTCTATCCATGTGTCTTTTTCCTGGTATTATTTCTGAGCAAGTAGATATGGGCTGTGGTGGAAGTATTTTTATTTAAAAACTGAACAACCGTAGATCCAGAGGAGACCCCATGCTGTGCACTTGCTGTCAGTGCTTGCTCAGACATCTGTCTGAAGATGGGATATTAGTTCTTTGAGGCCCAACCCAAGTGTTTTTCCTCTGTATAACATAACTGTCCTTGTGTTTCTTAGACAAAGTTTAGGTATTGCTCTATAATGAGTGTGTGTACTTGGAGCTCATTAACTCATTGCATAGCTTGTTTTTTCTTTTTGACATATGTCCACATATTTTGAGGGCAGATTCTATATCCTACATTTCTGTATCCCCAGCATTAAATATTACATAAATCAGAGACCAGGATTATAGCTTTATTGGTAACCTTAAGTCATCAATTTTCCTTTCTGGTCCCCAGTCCTTCCTTCTCTAAGAGCTGGACTTGACTGGAGTATCTCTCATGTTTTGGTGTTGCTCTGTTTACTTCCCAGTGACAGCTAATGAGAATGTACATCACCACTAATGTCTGAAGTAGGCTCCCTAAAAGTATGATGATAAAATGTGCTCTCAGGAGAAATGTAGGTTTACTCAGAGCATATAGGTATTTAATTGCCGTGTATTCATCTCTACACATACTGTGAAAACAAAGCAGAGGCTATTCTGTGTCTCCCTTCCCTCTAAGCGTATTTGTGCCCATCTTGGTGGGGACCTGACTCACATTACCTTCTTCCTTTGGGCTTGGTTCCAGTATGGGGGTGTTTTTGTGTTTTTTTTTTCCATCACTAGCATCTTGCTGAGAGAAGATCAAAGTGTTTCAAGATTATAAATTATTGTATGAGCCAGTTATATCTGGTGCTCAACAGAACTACAGAATTAGCTGTACTGCAATAATTAGGAAAAGGATGTCTCTGCAGTGGCACAGAAAGGTGGTCATAGGCAATCTAGTGTACAGGCCACCAAAAATTAAGAGAGAAAAATTGTGCTAAGAATAATAGGTAGTCATTTTTATTGCCTCCTCTTTCTCCTTAGTTTCAGTTCCTCCACAGGTGCAACTTTGTTTTGATACCTAAATCAGTTTTTTTTCCTCAAGATATGGGGAACGTTAATACAAGAAGCACTAGGAGTGTGTATGTGCGTCTGTGTGTGTGTGTTTGTGTGTGTGTTTTGAAATCACTTTCTGTGAGTAAAATTCCCGAGACATTTATTAGTCACAAATCTTACTCTTTCCTAAAGATGCTACACATATGTTTTTGCATGATTCTATTTACATTGGACTATTATGTGCCTCACAAATGCATTCTTTTATTCTTTGAACAGTGAGATAGTGAAGAAATAATTCTGTTTTGGATAATAAGGGGCAATTTGGGAGAGTTTAATTTTCCTCATACCTTTTTCCAGAGTGAATGTAAAGTAGCAAAATTCCGTGATTATGAAGAAAAACTCATTGTTTCTGCGTGGTATAATAAGGTGAGTTGAAATTTAACCAATGATTGAGTATTTTAAACAGGATGTATCAAACTTTTTTTCTTCAGCCACAATGGAAGGAAACATTTTATTACATAAACCAAGACATGACATAACGTATTTATATATCTAACCAAAACGAAAGTTACACTGACACTGTGCATTACACTCACATATTTTCATTCATACTCTATTTCTTTAAATGTTAGACATAATTCACTAAATTGATGTTGTGACTCAGTTTTTAGCTGATGCTCATTAAATACAGACATAACTGACATATTTTAACTTAAATTTTTAATTTATACTCATGAAGAGTGTCTGAAATGTATGAATATATGAGTATTCCAAAACTAGGCAAGCATTACTCTTCCATAATAGTCTCTACCTTACCAAGGAAGAAATAGCACAAGCTAACTTGAAAGGTATTTTGTTTTATAATCCTTAGTGTCAGCGAGATGTTTTCAAGAGTGGTTTTTCAAGGTGTATGAGGTTGTTCTGCGTTACTCTAATCAGAGTAGATAATAATTTCTCCATTATCTACAATTGTGTGTCATTCAGTCCGAGAGAATTTTGGCATTCACGAAGTTCCTAAGGTGCTCTTTGTCATGAAAGTATCTTATTTCTCCATCAATTTTGAAAGATAGTTTTGCAGAGTACATCAATCTGGGTTGGAGGTGGTTTTCTTTTAGGGCTTGGAATATGTCACTCCAAGCTCTTCTTGCCTTGATGGTTTGTGTTGAGAAGTCTGCTGTGATTCTGATGGGCTTTCCTTTGTATGTGATTTGTTTCTTTTCTTTAACTGCTTGTAGAACTTTGTTCTTCTGTTGAGTTTCTGGAATCTTAACAATTATATGCCTATGTGTAGATTGTTTTTGATCAAGGCTATTTGGAGTCCTATATGCTTCACTTATCTGTATATCAAGTTCTTTTCCCCTCCTTGGGAAGTTTTCTGCCATCACTTCTGTGAACAGGTTTTTTATGTCATCTGCACTCTCTCCTGTTTCTTCATTGACTCCAATCAGTCTTATGTTACCCTTCTTTGCATCGCCTAGCAGCTGCTGGATTGATTTCTCATGTTCCCTTATAATGTTGAAGCAATTTTTCTTTTCTTGGTCATTAATTACAATCTTACCTTCTATATCTGAAATTCTGTCCTCACATTGGCTCATTCTTCTGTGTAGACTTTCAATGGAGTTTTTCATCTCCTGGAAATCTATTTGCATCTGTTTTATGGATTCCATTTGTTTCCTATGTTGGGATTCCATCATGTTCCTCAGCTCCTCTCTAGATTTATTAATCATGTCTTGCACTAGGGGCACAATTTCTCCTGTTATCTGAGAAATTATTTCTGATTCCATTTTTTCCAGATCCCCTTTTGTTGCCAGTTCAGTGGGTCCAGGTGATTGAGTATCAGAGTGTTCCATGTCATTTCCCTTTGGGGTTGCTGTAGGTGATCTGAAAGTCTGGTTTTGAGACTTATTTACATGTTTTCTCATTTCGACTGGGGGGCGGGGGGCTGTTGGCACCTGCATGGATTACCTCTGAGCTGGGAGAGGTGGGACAGGGGCCAGGAGCAGTGGTAGGGATAGTAGCCCAAAAGCCCTTTCCTCTGGGCTGGGAGCAGCAGAAGGGATGGTGGCCGGGAAGCCCCTTCCTCTGGACCAGGAGCAGTGGGACAGCGGCTCAGAAGCACCTACCTCTGGGCCTACCTAGGATTCTTTTGAGGATTAAATGACATATATGAAAGACATTCGTAAACTAAATTTTTTTTCATTTTGTTTTTGTTCAGAGTCTGGCATTCCAGAAACTGGGGATGGAATCCCGGCTCATGAGCGGTGCTTGCAAAGACCCCGCTCCCTGCACCCCTGCACGGTCGTTCTTAGCACAGCAGAGGCACATCACCAGCACCCGGAGGAATCTGTCTGTTAGGGTTCCTGCTGCAACATCTGATTAAACCGCAAAGAAAACAGAAACAGAAGTGCCCTTAAAATGTTTTGTATTTTCCAGCCACTGGATTAAAAAAGGTTAAAATACTTGACATAGTTGACGTATGCTGTGTTGAAATCAAAATGCCACAAATTGGTTTTGCCAGCTAACTTTGAAAACAAAGTATAGAATTAGCTGTCTCTCTGGGGGACCACATTAGAATAATTATAAGATGTAATTAAGCACATATCTCAAACATTCGTCTTTTGAATATTGTAATTATAAATTGACTATGTTTTATTTTAGTGTTTTCTTGTCATACCAGTAATGTGATTAATTTGCGACATGTAATCAGAAATACACAATTTAAAAATGTATCCACATTTATGTTATTGGTCCATATAGTACTAGTCTTGATATAGGCACATGGAGAAGTGTACAAGGGTGATTTTGTTGACTTGATATATTTGAGATTTCACTTCTATCCACAAATTCTTTTGAATGGATGTATTTTGGCATGCTGTGGAAAATTTGACCATTGGCAATGATTTGCCCTAGTCAAAGTGACTAATACTGCAGATTCTGAAAAGGCTATGGTTTTCACATGTATCTACTAAAAACAAGGGCTTCTGGAGAGCTTGGTTGAAGTGTTAGAAGGTGGGAAATAAACTCACATTATTAAGAGATGACTGATGGAAAGCAAGCTGAAAAATAATATTCGGTGTGAAATGTTCACCTCCTTTTAAATGTAATCAATGAGAATATATTGATATTCTCATTTACTGCTTTTCAGCTTAAAATTATCTGTTTAAAAATGACATACCACAATATATTAATTTTGCGTCTTCTTTGAAAAGATGTGTTGAGAGTTTATTGTGGGCTGAATTTGTGGTTTCAGTTAATTTCTGCTGAAATCTCTTATTTTTGAATATGTTTCTAACTTTGGAGATCATTTCTGAAAGTCTCAGTTTGGAATATCAGTTAAATTGTGTTACGTCTGTGCTGTTAATATTGTTGCCACAAGATACATGTGGCAGTTTAACCTCATTAAAACAAAAAATTAGGTCTTGAGTTACACCAGCCACACTTCTAACACTCACTCACTCCATGTAGCTAGTGGCTACTTTATTGGGCAGTCCAAATATAGAATATTTCCATCTCTGCAGATTTCTGTTGGACAGTACTGTACTTAATCTTTTTGTAAAAGTAAAATTGGAAATACATTTTTGGTATTAAAGCACAAAAATCAAAAGCATTAGAACTATTCAAAGATAATGAGAAATTGAATTCTTACATAACTAGCATCTTATATTCTGTGTAGTTGAATACCATATATAGTGATAACTACAGTTAGTTTTTCCAATGCTGTTCAAAAAATACTTAGCACCAGTATGCCTGGACCAGAGAGCAGCAAACTTACTGTGAAGGCACAGATAGTAAATATTTTAGCCTTTGTGCGTTTTATGATCTCTGTCTCAAGTACTCAAGTCTGGCCTTGGGATATGAAAGAAGTCATATACAATATGTAAACAAAATGGATGTGGCTGTAGAAAATTTTATTTGCAGCAACAGGTAGGCTGGATTTGGCTAAGAGGTTCCACATCCGTGGTCCAGTTTTTATTCTTAGTCATTCTTTCCAAATAAGAGTATTGTTCCATTTGCAGTATTCATTTAGAGAACTTTCCCAGTTATTTTAATCACTAAAACTATAAGAATTTCATACTGCAACTGGGTCTTAGATTAGGGAGTATCTGTCAGCATATTTTGTTTATCAGGGTTACTTCTGACTACCTCTCGAATTTTGGTGTTTTTTTTCTGTACAATTGTTGGTTTACATTTTTGTATACTCTTGTAGTGTCCACTTACCTGTGACTTTTAGTGAAATGAAATAAGACTTTGAAAGCATTTTAGCATGCTATTTAAAATTTTCTAAATATTGTGGCATTTGGGTATATTTTGGTCCTTGATATCCTGTCCCTTTGAAATTTCTCCTTGCTTGTAATTGAGATTTTATAAGCTCTTCAAGCACATTTTAATGGAATTTATTATAAAACATCAACTTAAGTAAATCAATTTTCCAGTTCTATTGATAATAAAATTTTCAGTTATTATACTTGGAATTTCTAAAACTGTCAAACCATTTCTGAATAAGGTCTTAAAGCTAAATTCTTTTTTCATCTTAGAGAAAAAGCAGATTTTCTCATTTAGCAATTTTCTAGTTGATAAGTAGAATCTAAATTTGATTATATAGGTATTTATACAAGAATAATATACTATAATTTGAAGTTCTGTATTATTGTGACTGCTCATTACAGAAATTCAGGAACTGATCAGAAGTGAGATTCTTTTCCACATCTGATTAATGTAGTAAGATTGACACCCTGTGGGTGGTGAAGCATTATTAATATTTCATCACAAACCATGATGTCTAATATCTGTTTTGTGAGGGAGACTTGAATGCATATGTTGTGGAAGAGATAATTCACCATTTATGTTTGATAAGAAATAGAATATATCCATGATTATAAAGTAAAACCACAGACCAATTTGGAAATGGTCTTTAATTTTGAAAATTTTCTCTAAGATTAATCTTCCTTTTTCTTTTTAAATTGTATACATATGACAGTGATGTTTAGCCTGAGATTAACTTAATATATTGAGAAATCTTTGAAGTCTTTCTATTTTTACAGTAAGGCTAATGATTTAATATACCTTAAGAATGTCTGTCTAGAAATGTTAAAGTGAATATTCTTCATTAGGATACCTTCATCTTTGATAGCTGGAGTTCTGATTTGAATAATTGATTTGATTTAAATAATGCTTTCATGACCATACTTGTTTCATTGTTGTGGCACATCTGGCCCTTGGGGAATAGGTATGACTTTTAGGGGACACTGCTGTCTGTATTAGATTCTCTGTGTGTATATTTAATGAGAGACATTCCTTCATAAAAATTTGTGTATGTGGTTGCATACATTTGCATTGTGAACATGTACATTGCAAAGAAGTAGGTTGGAAATTTGCAAAGCATAAATGATAAAATAGTGTGAAGTAATAAACATGAGGTAGCTTAAAAGTAATGTTTAGTTTAAAAAGATCCATTCTATTTTTTATGGCAAAGACTTTGACACTTGAAAAATAGAAGCAATACTTGATTTATTTTTGTATGTATTTAGAATATTATTTTAAATAAATGATTGTCCAACAATAATATAATAGTTGTGGAATGTTTTACTTGAATAAACCTTCTAAATGTTGGCTGTGATTTTTTTAAATACATGTTTGTGGTACATAATGAGGATATTTGTTATGTGTAGTTGGTCCATGGATTTAACACATCTGATTTTTTTTACAAAACTCTCTTCCCCTCTCCCCCCTCCCTCCACTCTTAGTCCCCTTCCCATTTGTATATTATCTCTCTTTTATTTTTCTCTTTATTTATACTGTGTGCTTCTCATATAAGAAAAACAGTATGGCATATAAGCTTATGTGTCCGATTTGTTTCATTTAACATTATGGATTCAGAATGCACCCGTTTTGCTACAAATGATTCAAATTTATCCTTCTTTAGAGTAATATTCCATGGTGTGTAAGTACTATGATTTCCTTATCTATTTGTCTGTTGGTGGACATTTAGGCAGCTTCCAAGACTCAGCTATTATGAATTGTGCTGCTATAAACATGCTATTCATGTATAACTGTAATATGATGTCTTTAAGTCTTTTGAGAGGATACCTAGAAGGAAAAATGGTGTTTTTCTTTTAGTTTTTTGAGGAATCTCCACACTGATTTCCATACCAATTTTACTAGTTTACATTCCTACCAATAATGTAAAAGGGCTCATTTTTCCTCACAACCTCACCAGCACTTGTTGTTATTGGATTTCTTAATGCTAGACAGTCTTTCTGGAGTAAGATGGAATCTCATTTTTGTTTTAATTTGTATTTCTCTAATGGCCAGCAGAGTTGAACGTTTTTTCATGTATTCATTGGCCATTTGTACTTCTTGAGATGTGTCTATAGATTTCATTGTCTCATTTTTTTATTGGGTTTTTTATTTGGGGAAGTCTAATTTTTTTTCCAGTTCTTGATGTATTCCAGGTACTACTCCTCTGCCTGAACTGTAGCTGACAAAATTTTGTTTTCCATTATGAATAATCTCTTCACTCTGTTGGTTATTTCCTTGGCTGTGTAGCTTTTTAATTTGATATTATCCCATTTTATGATTCTTGATGTTATTTGTTGTGCAACTGGGGTTCTGCTGAAAAAGTCCTTGCCTACACCTAGTTTACCTGTTTCATCTTCTAGCAGGCTATGTTTCTAATATTTAGCTTTTTGATCCATTTTGATTTTAGTTTATTACAATGAGAGATATGGATCTAGTTTCAGTCTTCTGCACATTGTTGGCAAGTTTTCCAACCACCATGTGCTGAAGAGGCTCTTTCCTCCAGCATGTTTTTGGCCCTTTTGTCAAAGATCAGATGTCTGAGTGTTCTTGGGTTTGTTTTTGCATCCTCTATTCTGTTCCATTGGCCGACATGTCTTGTTTTTATGTCCCTACCATGCTGTATTTATCATTGTAGCTTTGTACTATAACTTGAAGTCTAGGATTGCGATGTCTTCTGCTTTGCTCTTGTTGGCCAGGATGGATTTTGCTATTCTATTGTTCCATATGAATTTTAGAACTGTTTTCTCTAGTTCTGTAAGAAATGCTGTTGGTATTTTGATTGGGATTGGATTAAATCTGTATTTCAGTTTAGGAAGTGTGGATATTTTGACAGTATTGTTCTGCCAATCCAGGAACCAGGGATATCTTTCCCTCTTCAGTCTCTTTCATCAGAGTACAGTATTTTCATTGTAGAGATCTTCCTGCGTTAGGTTAATTCCTGACTATTTAATTCTTCTTGATGCTATTATAAATGGTATTGTTTTCTTAATTTCTTGTCATTGGGTTCATTATTGGTGTACAGGAACACTTGATTTTTGTTTGGTTTTGTATCCTACTGCATTGCTGAATTTTGTTATTAACTTTAGGAGTCTTTTGGTGGATTTTTGGAAGGTATTCTCTGTAAAGGATCATGCCATCTGCAAACAAAAACAATTTGAATTCTTCCTTCCCTATACATATCTCTTTTTTATTTCTTTCTCTTGCCTGATAGCTCTGGCTAATGATCTAGTAGTATACTGAACAGGAGTGGTGATAGTATAATGCTTGTCTTGTTCCTGCTCTGAAAGGGAAAGCTCAGTTTTTCTAGTTTAATATGATGCTGGCAGTGGATTTGTCAGAAATTGCTTTTATCAGGTTGAGATAAGGGTCTTATATACCTATTTTCTTCAGTGTTTTTATCAGGAATGGATGTTGGCCTTTGTCAAAAGCCCTTTCTGAAGCTATTGATGTGATAATATGATTTTTATTCTTAATTTTGTTTATGTAATGCTTTATATTTATTGATTTGTTTAACTTGAGCTATATTTGCATTCCTGGGGCTAAACCTAGGTCATGAGTATGAACTTTTTGGTGATTTATTGCATTCTATTTGTATCTTGTTGAGGATTTTTGTATCTGTGTTCATTCAAGAGATTGGTTGGTAGTTTTGTTTTTTAGTTGGGTCCTTGTCTAGTTTTGGAGTCACAGTAATGCTAGCTTCCATAGGTGACTTTGGATTTAGTTCTTCCCTTTCAATTTTATTAGAGTTTGAAACGTGTTGGCATTAAATCTTCCCTGAAATTCTTGTAGAATTCAGTGAAGAGTCCATCAGGTTCTGGGATTTTCTTAGTTGATAGATTTTTTTTATTACTCCCTAAATTTCACTGCCTCGTATTTGACTGCTCAGTGTTTTAATGTCTTCTTTGTTCAGTCTTTTTTGTTTTGTTTTTTTGGTACCAGGGATTGAACTCAGGTCCTTGCACTTGCGCAGCAGGCAGCGGGTTCAGTTTTTAATAATTCTTATATATGTCTAGGATTCTCCAGTGTTGGAGTACAGTTTTTCTTAGAGTTAGTAATGATCTGGATTTTGGCAGTATCTGTTGTGATTTTGCCTTTTTTATTGCTTTTTTTCTTTTTGGGTACCGGAGATTGAACTCAGGTCCTTGTGAGGCAGGCAACAGAACCAATGAGCTAAATCTCCAGCCCCTGCCTTTTTCATTTCTAATTGCATGGATTTCTTCTTTTGATAAGTTTGGTTAGCTGTTTGTCTAATAGTTTGTTTATTCTTTCAGAAACTACCGGTTCAGTTCATAGATTCTTTGTATTGTTTTTAGTTTACATTTATTTTAATTAATTTCCACTCCGATCTTTATGATTTCCTTCCTTGTGCTAGGTTTGAGTTTGGACTGTTGTTTTTCTGGTTTCTTGAGGTGTATCATTAAGTTATTTATTTGCTTTGTTTTTCTAATGTGAGTTATTCACAGCTATAAATTTTCTCTCATGACTGTATCCTTCTGTCCCATATGTCCTGGTATGTTGTACTGGCATTGCTGTTTGATTCTAGGAATTGTTTCTTCCTAGATTTCTTCTGTGACCCACTGAGTGATGAGTTTGTTGTTTAAGTCCAGGTGCTTGTAAAATTTCTCTGGTTTTTCCTGCTATTTCTAGTTTTAGTGAACTATGATCTGATGTACATGGATAAATTATTTTGTATATATTTAAGCAGGATTTAGGTAGCTGATATTGAGGTAATACACTATTTCTTACTTTATTCAATCATCTCATTGTATTTTAACAGCTTGACTGATTTATTTAGATGGGAATCTTTTCAAATTTAACCTTCTTGTAGTTTGTTGAACTTAGATCTGAAGGTTATTGATTTTATTAAATGATGAATTAGGGAGCATCATTTCTTGAAATATACTTTCTTCCCTTTTATATCATTTCCTCCACCCCTCCCTCCTTATCCATTTATTGCATGTCCCACCAGTCTCTAAATCTCCACTCATTTTTCTTCATTCTCTTTTAATTTTCTTTCTGAAGTGATTTCATTGACTTATCTTCAAGTTTACTGATTCTTCCTTCTGCCAGCTCAATTATACCACTAAGCCCCACTAATAAATTTAAAGTTTCAGTTAGTATATTTTCAAATTCAAAATTTCTAGATAGCTGCTTTTTGAAATAATTTCTTATTTTCCATTCAGTGAGAAAGTGTTCTTATACTTAACCTTCAATTCTCTTGACATAATTTCCTTAGATTCTTTGCGTGCACGTATTTAAAGCTTCTGTGTAGAATATCCAATGCTTAGGCTTATTCAAGGACAGTTTCTAGCATGTACTTTTTAAAAAATCCTGTGTATGGGACATAGTTTCCTATTCATTGCATTGTTAATTTTTGTAGAAAATTTAGCATTTTAGATGATATGTAGACACTGGAAATCAGACTGTCCACTCCTGCGTCCCCGAGGCCCTGTTGTTACTGTTATATTTTGTGTTCATGTTTGTAGATACTTAGACTAATTCTGTAAAAATTCTATCCTTCACCATATGCAGCCACTGGATTATCTGCTGTATTAGAATAGTATTCCTCTGTGTTTTGAGTGAAGCTTCCATAAATATTTTGAACTGACAAGTCTCTCAGCTGTCCCAAGTGTCCTGTGTGTGGTCAGTGATGCCTTCAACACGGACCAGGCAACTTAGGGCTCTATTGTAGCCTTCCCCTTCTTACATAGACCCTGAGGTTCAGCTAGGGATGAGAGATGAATGCTTGCTCGAGACTTCTCCTGGGCATGCACATAACCATACATGTATGCTTTCCTCCTGTACTCCTAGGAATAAGGTAAAATTTGAAGTCCCAGTGGGTGTCTTTCCCCCACTTTTTCCCACTGGTCCTCTTGTTAGCACTGACAGGTATGGCCACCTTGGGTTAATGCAGTGTTGTACAGTTGCTACTGACTCAAAACAGGTGTTTACGCAGAGCGTAAGGAGTCAGGTCAAATCCAATTCATGAGAATGGAAATTCAAGAACTTTCAGGAAGCTCTCAACAGCTTTTTTGGGGATGAGTGTTCTAGGGTGCTCTGGACCCTTTCTGCTTCTTTTACTGGTTGATAACGACAGATACCACATTGTGAGGTTGCGTTTCAGGGATTCTGCAGAGCTAGGAGAAGAGAAGATGATGGGTACAGCTGGTTAAAACAGCTTGTTATTCTTTCTGAGACTTAACTCATTATTTTAAAACATCCTCAGATTGCTGCAAGACTTAGTTAATTTTCAGAGTCCTGGAAAT